GAAAACCCAACACCCAGGGGGCTCGGCCCAGTGCCGGCCACCTATAGGTGGCCGACACTATTCCGTGCGCGGGCACAGTAAAGAGAGCCTATAGGTCATTCATCATTTGAGAGGGCTTTTTGGTTGGACTTTGGAGAGCCGAAACTCTGCCGGATTGAAGACTGAGCTTAGAGTTTTGAAGACTTGAAGACTTGGACATCCAGATCTGATCCTCGGCGAGCATCCACGTCACAAAAGGCAGGAGTTCGAGAGAGGGGAAGAACAGATCTGAGATCTACACGAGATCACACTCCGGATCTAAGCTTGGTCTTAGATCCCGAGATCCGAGCGATTATTTCCTTAGTGAACTAATCCCTCCCGGCTATTATTCCCTTCGTGGAATAATACCCGTCAAATCGTGTAGATCCGACCGGATCTAGATCGCGCGGTGGTCCACGGATTAACCCCGGCGTTGGCAAAAAACCCACAAAGCGAGCGACCGCAAACAGAGGAGCTCGCGATTTGTTCACAAGGAGAAAGTTGTAATTTTTATTTTTTTTCTTTGATTTAGTTGTAACCGGATCTATAAAAGACCGGATCTTTGTAATCCAAGATGACAATCATATCAATGAAAAAGAAAACAGTTTTCCACGCGAACAATCTGGCGACCACAGTGGGAGCCAACGATCTCGCTGCCGAGATCGTCACGTCGCAGCCGCGGATCTCAATCCCGGTCGTGGAGGAGGTCGAATACGAGTTCGACCAACAGAAGTTCGAGGAATACTTGTCGTCCTCGTCCGGATCAACCTCCCCCCGCAAGTCCAAGAAGCTCTCCTCCAGGAGAAAAGCTCGTTGGTTCGAAGAAGTTCAGAACGCCAACGAAGCTCTCACCCCAGCTGACGCCAAAGTCGCGTCGGGTGAAGTTCTGCCGACCTCCAACCAGGTCAACCCAACTCCCGCCAACGCCTCCACTGTTCAGGGCGTTGTGACTCTCTCAAAGAGAGCCCGCCAGAGGCATCGTCAACGCCTTGCGCGGCAACTCGCTAAGGCGATGGAGTCTATGGACGGATTCCGCTACAACGCGGAGTTGAAGAACAGAAGAGGCAAACAACCTCAACCACCAATGAATGGCGACTCTTCCAAGCCGCCAAAGAAAGAATGGGTCCGCGTCAAACGGAACCGTTCAACGCTCGAAGAGCGCATTCGCAAGCGCCG